CGCCGGTTCCTTCTGTTCTTCTCTGGTCCCGTCCGGTCCCGTCAAGTCCCGTCCTAAATCTGATTTTATTTGATTGAAATTGCGATCGCGTATTTGGTGTGCGAGGGCCGGTTTCCGTATGACGGCATAATTATCTGTTAGGAATGGGTTTCGGCGGTAACATGATAGCTAAGTTAGGTAGCTATGTCGCGGATAAAGCGGGCATACCGAAAATAGTGGATGGGGTACCATATGTCGGTGAGGCGCGTTACGCCCGTGACGTGGCGCGGTACGCCCGTGACGTGGCGCGGTACGCCCGTGACGTGACGTGTCACGCGCAGGGTCTGAACATGTGGCAGCGCCATAGATTTCTTTGCCGAGCTCGAGAGGAGGTCAGGGTGGCTTTGGGGCCCCAAGTATCTCCTGTACCTAGCACATACCATAGCCTTATGTCAGCTTTGCTGAGCTCGGAAAGATTCAGACGCCGGCAACGGCAGCGGATTCTCCCACCATGGTGTTGATGAATCAAGCTAATTATTTACGAGAAAATCACGTCAGGGAAATATAACTGCTCACATCAGTCGCTCACAAACTGCGGGGTCGAAATCTGGGCTGAAACGTCGTTTGCCATTCTGATGGCACTGCCTATTTGTGATGGTGAGCAAGCTGTGCACCTGTATCGCCTCGCGATCGCAGCTAGGTAGGGCTTCTAAAACATATCTCAAAATAGAACTAAACATAAAACAGCATGTAATTAATCGATGGGACGAGACTTCCTAACCCCATTTAAATACACTGAATGCATATGTACTACAAATTGACTACGATGTCTGCTTACAACGCCTACCCTTCAATCAACTAAATTGAAGGGACTTTTCCATACATTGATAGGTGGGAACTACTGAGACTGTGATGTATACTTACATTGCTGTTTCCGACGCACCCGAGACGTAAGTCCTGACATCAGTGTTCTGATTTTTTATGCATCCAGACACCCAACACAAAAAGAATGCGGACGCGCCCTTTCGGCGCATGTAACTCACACGCCATGTTCTGGCAGGTTCCATGTCTCCACGCAAGGCTCAACCCGCCACTGATTTCCTCGTAACCATACTCCAATAACCCATCCATGCATGCAGCGATACTTTCATCGTGTTTCAACCCAACAACTTTGCTTGTATTCGCATCGTATTTATTTCAACCTTCATGGCCCGATTGCCTACAGCGGCTGCTTCCAGAAGTCCGATAAATGGCTCTAAATCACCTACTACCGCTTCTTGTCGCCGTTTCCTTCAAACCCATCAGGCCCGCCAGCATTGCCCGTACAATTACAACAGCAGACCTACGTAAGTTTCTAACCGCACCCGTTCCCAAATCTGTGCAGCGCCGCTACAAGCAGCGAAGGCTTGCGCTCCCACACGAACCGTACCGAAGACGTGCCTCGCATCCAACCCGCTGCTGTTTGGTCCGCCAGCTCCGAGGCGAAACGTGGCGACGCTCCCAGTGGCCGCCCGGCAGAAAAACATCGAAGCACGCAACGACACTATTAGGAGGGGATATGGCTCCTAATGGCTGTACAAACAGCGCCCAGGCCGGCCCCCGGCCGCGGCGCAGCAGCTGGGCTCATGCAATGAGGCAGGAGCCGCGTCCGACGGCACGACTGCGGGGGTCCCCGGCCCAGCGGCACTAAGCTGACTGGGATTCAGTCGGTCATTAGAACTCTGACCCAATGTTGCGCACGGACGGTGTGGGATTAGAGTTCCCGTTCGGCACGGTTTGCTGCGAATGGCTCGGTCCCACCTTATCAGCCACGTAGTTGGACGGACGAAGTTACGTGTGCCACAGATAATGTGGTAATGTGGCCGTTCCTCCATCAGTCGACTCTCCCAGCCAGTTGCCAACTGCTTATCAAAGACGAGCTGATCCAAGTCCAGCCACATAGGTATGGTTTCTGAGATGCCAGATGTTTGCCACGCACTGGTAAGTGTCTGATGCTCCAGCAGACGCTGCAGCGACGCCCAAGTTCAGCAGCAACACGATAAGAAAAGTCAGATAACGAGGGCACTGCTGTCTTGCAGCAAAGAAACCCAGTCAGACGGTGACATAACTCTATCAACGGCAGGGTCCGGTCTAATCAGCGATAGATATTGCCACCATACCGTCTGCAGCCAATGTTGGCGGTTTCGGGCTTTTTGGTGATCCTCTGACGTGACCCGCGGCCACCATCTTCATAACAGGAAGGTCGACCATGATGCATTCATCGGTGAAGATATCCTGTCCACCGGTCCCACAGGCTCAAAGCATGTGGTTGTCTAAAACTGATCTTGGTCGATTTCCTAACTTTTTAGTGAGCTTTGACCCGACCCCCGGGTCACCATTTTGTGGAGAAGAGAGGTTATCGACCATGGCACATCGAGTGGTAAAAGTTTGGTGCCGATTAGTTTCACTGGCTCGAAGCATGGGGTTGTCTGTAAACTGACTTTGGCCTGCTTAGGAACTTTTTGGTGATTTTTTATGTGACCCAAGGTCACGATCTTCTGGAAAGGCTAAGCTTTCGACCATGGCGTATCGAACGGCAAACACTTTGTGTCGACCGGTCCTTCGGCTCGGAAAACGAGGTTATCTGCAGTCGATTTTCGTGGCTCTGGACGCTTGATGTAATCTCTGACTTGACCCAAGGTCACCATTTTCTGGAAAATAGGCAAATAACCACGCGGTATCGAATGGTGAAGGTTGGGTGCCCATAGGTCACAAAATGAGGTCGTCAACAGATTTAGCCCGTTTAGTCCCCGCCCTTCCCATCGGATACCGTCTGGTTTCGATGGGAACCAGTTTCAGGTCACCCGTGCAAGACATTTAATTGGCTGCGTTATATTATATTACCACACGGAGGCGGGCCATCTTCTGCGCGCCGGCCGGCCGCCGCCGTCGCCCGCCCCTCCTCCCAGAGCCGGCCGTCACCGGCGCCCGAGTGGCTACCGTCGGGACCACGCGGCCACAGTGTCAGTGCCCACTGTCAGAAATACCCGCTGTTTCTGTTAACCTCGCCACGAAATCTCCAGCGATGTACACGAATGCATACAATAGCGACCTTAACGTACCTGTAGTAATTACAACGCGCTTTTTCGTTCTACACCACATGGTTTCTTCTTTTTATCTTTCCCCTTCACCCGCCCCATGCGTTGAGAGAAACATCCCATCAGCATAGGTTTCGCGTCTCTTCCTTGTCTGCCATATTGGGTTGTAGGTGAGCCAGCGAAACCTGGGCTCATGCGCATCATAGGCCACTTTTTGTTTTCGTAAGCAGTTGGTTCAGGACAGATGGGCAATCCGGTGACGCCGCGAACACTGTCGCAGCCCCACGCCACGCGACAGCCAATCACGCGCCAGAGAGCCCGGAGAGCGGAGACGCCTCCGCGGCAGCCCCGAGAAAGGCGGGACATTCCCTCCCATTACGTGGCCGTCTGTGAGGGGTACCGGCAAATGCCTCCGGGGGCGTCTCCCGCCCGCCTGCGGCGCCAACCTTGTCCACAATGGTGTCTCCGCCTGCGGAGACACCATTGTGGACAAGGTTGGCGTGCTATGCGGCGTATACAATGGTGTGCAGTGAGAGCGCGGCGGAAAGGAGGCTCGACGACGGTTTTGCGATTAGAGTGTGGGTGGGGGCAACTGAGGCATCGTGAATGGGTGATGGTCATACATTTGAAATGGTTTGTTGGACGGTAGAAATCAATATGACGTGTGGATGTCGGGCACTTCTTGCTTTGTGTGGATCATGATTGATTGGTTTGTGTACGGAGAGCTTCGCGGGTTTATTTTTGCTGGTATAATATCCGGAGTACAAATTTCATCACGGTTGAATGCCCCAACAAAGTGCAAAAAATCCAACACTGAATTTGTGGGCGAGGGCGGCGACAGCCCTCCTTGGTGCATTGAAAACCGTAAGTGCAACAATGATGAGTGAGCTTTACGATGTTTCCAGAAGTGCTTGCGACCACCACATGGACCATGGGGTCCTTGCTAGTCTGAAATGGGGCCCTGTGTAAACTGAGTGGGCTCAATCTGATAATCAGGACCAATTTTTGGGTGTCCTAAAGAAAACCATGGGGACCCCGCGAGGAAACAAGGCTTCTAGCACTTTGTAGCCCCCCAGTTCCTCGGAGAAATCGTGATGGAAGGGGAGTACTGTCAATCGCCACAGAAGGCAACTCCCACACCGGAGCAAGGCCGCTGCCACATAGTACGCTGTCGACGATTGTGGACCGGCAGCGCACGGTGGCTCGCGCCGGCGCCGGCTCCGTGTCCTGAAGCCGGCGAGCGCCGGGCCCCGCCCGCAGCCCCTGGACGCGGCGCACCCGTCGACGGCCCGCACGCGTGCCACGACGGACGCACGTTCACCGACGATAACGTAAGAAGGGCAGCACCATCAGCCTCACATTGCGTCCGACTGCCGCTTGCTACCAGGTCGACCTCTGACCACAAGGCGTGGCGATGTGCTGCGGCGCGTATTTCGCAAGCGCGCCGCTCAGACAGGTGACCGCGGAGCCCAAAAACTACAGACAACGCCCCACACAGGTGCCCGTGCAGGCGCTAAATGAGCACTACTTAGCCCTCCGGTAATGGCACACAGTGCGGGAGGATGGCACCCGCATGGCGTACCCCCGGGTACGGTCCTGCTGTGCCACCCCACCCTCCTCCCTCCCCACCGGCCTGACGCCGCGGTGTACGTCGTTCACAGAAACTCATCGCGATCGCAAAATTAGCCGCCCACGGAGGATTTGTAGGACCCACTGCGCAAGTCTCCGATGGCCGGTCGCTCGGCGCGGTTCAGCCGACTGTGCTGGAGTGTACGGCGCTGGCGAGCCACACGCCCAGCTGTCGGCAGAGGCGGCGGTCTGCCTGTCTTGAGAGGGCCCCCTCGTGCCCGCCGTCACTGGCCGGGACAGTCCACTGCGGGGACGGTTACTGGCCGTGACGGTCCATGGCGCCCACGGGCTGGCCGTGCCTGCGGTCACACTCACGTTCATGGCGCGGAAATCCTGCGGCGTCAGCTTCTCCTGGAACTCCTGCTCGATCCGCGCCGTGGCCGGCGTCGAGCCCAGTAACCCATCCAGCATGTCCTTGAAGTTGAACTTCTTCATGGTAGCCGTCCGCTACTGCCCAGTTGCTATCACACGTGTTGGTCTCTGGAGGCTGCCGCGTTGCACACCACCATCGCCTGCAGGCATGTGTACATGCCCTGGGTACGTTCTTCAGCTGCAAACCCCTGCATCTGGACGTCAGCAGCACAAATGGGCCATGATGCAGGCAACTTGCATGAATTGAAAAATTCTGCAGTGTCACTCTCACCCACAACCAAGATGCCTGAAATGCCTGTGATAAAAAGGGGGCCTTATGAAGCCAATTAAAAAATAACTTTGTATACAGCACATGAAAGGAATCAAAGTGATGGGCATCCAGGGTGCAGGATTCAACTTTGGCATACCACTTGTTGTTGAGTTTGAGCTACAGCTGCAGAAATGAGGATGTGTTGCAATGTGAGATGGAAGGTGATTAAACTGAGCTCTCACATTTTCATAGAGGTGTGGCATTACATCCAGTCTTCTATTCTTAATGTGCTGAGCTATTGCCAGACCATGTTCTGGTTAACTATGCCCAAAATGACAAAAACAGTTAAAATGATTAAACAGTATCACATTATAATGGGAATTGCTGCACCCTCATAGGCATTCCCAAATATTTAGAGCTGCTCAAAGTTTTTAATGGCCCTTGCCACCACTTTAAAGCTTGCATATTTACTCTTTGTACATTGATCTGTGGGTTGATGCATTCCCTACTATACACCATTTTTAATTGCTTGTATTGAGTTAATGTATGATGCTTGTTGATAATGTGGTCTTTATTCATGTCAAAATATATCATAAGAAGTACTTAAGTACAGCCTGATATTGCCATATGTTTATCTGGTACGAATGTCTTACCTTAAATGTTAACTTCTATTTGAAAGATTATAAAGTGCAAAAACATAGTGCAATATATAATGGAGGAATATAATAAATTTAACAAACAAAATACAATAACATAATGAATATCATGAATATAATGCAAGAATCAACATTTTGATAAATTTCAAGTCCAGCCAACTGGTAGCATGACTAAATTGGTAGGTGTCACAACCACAGTCATAATCTGTCCTTATGATATGTGTCTATCATGAGCATTCTGATGGACTGTGACCCTTCCTTAAACTTGAGAATCATTCTATAGGCATAAGTGTATCAACTATGATCTTAAATAATAACTAATTTCAAATGTTGCACAGGAGGTAGTTTTTACTTTTACCTTAAATATGTGTGTGATTACATTATAAACTCTATGAAAAATAGGTCAATCCAAAAGATGGTAGACAAAGACTCATTATGTTGACCACTTCTAAATGTGTAGCAATGGCACATGCAGAAACAAAATGTATCTTAAGCAATATATATGTCATGGCTACATGCATACCAACATCCCATTTGTCATAAATGTGAGAACATTGGAAGAAAATGAGTACTTTTATCAAAGCTATCATCTGGCTGAATACTAGCACCAATTTCTACAGAACTGTCTCATGCCAAATGTTTTCGGTATTCTTCAAGTACTTCACCTTTTTTAGAAGAAGAAAAATCTCCACCGCGAGCGTTTTACGCGCAGTGCGGCACGGGCTCAACCAGCTCGCGTTAGCAGGATTGCCCGACTTTGAAATCATTCAATCCAAACGACATCTTTAGCACCAAAAATAAAGAGCAGGCAATTAACATTATACACTACGTCGTTTCGATCACTGCTACTCGCAATGCTCGCATGATTGCCTATCATCTTCAAGAAATAACCATCTGATAATATAATAATTTCGGCCACAAACAGGCCATATGATTTTTAACACGCAGATTTATAGCATGCACTAAAAGGGCAACATAAGCACCAAATTACGTACATTCGGGCAATTAAGAAAAGTATCCCAGTTCTTCACATTCGTGTCTCGAATTGATATTTCCAAACAGACAGCACAGAGAAAAACCCAACAATGTCGGCGGAACTGAAGCATTTCCAGCAGTCTTAAAAAACGGACCAAGCCACGGGAACCAAACACCGAAGCCAAGCCAACGTTTTCGGTACGGTACATTGACGTCTATTAGCGCAGTGCATCTCATACACGAGTCCGGATAATGTGATTCACACTTATTAGGACCAAACACATCGTGACGACATTGTCGCTTAAACTACAACACTTGGATTCAATTAATATGACTACTCCGTTTGTCGTGACATGCTGCCATCATGTCGTGCAGAGGGACTGTCGTAGTACCCTCTTAAAGTAGTGCACCTCTTGTACAATTCCAACGAGCAAGGCTTGAAATCGCTCTGACATCCAGAGACATACTCTGCCGAGATAATATGCCAACAGCCACCCTAAGGAAACGGATCAAGCCTCGGGAAACGAAGACTGAAGCAAGGCCAGCGTTTTCGGTACGGTACATATACGTCTGTTAGCGTAGTGCACCTCACACACGAGTCCGGATAATGCGATTCACACCCTTAGAACTGAACACGTCGTGCTGACAATGTCGATGGAACTGCAAGACTTCGGTCCGATGAATAAGACTCATGCATTGCCGTGAGATGCTGCAATCATGTCGTGCAGAGGGGCTGTCGTAGCACCCTCTTAAAGTAGTGCACCTCTTGTACAATTGCAACGAGCAAGGCTTGAAATCGCTCTGACATCCAGAGACATACTCTGCCGAGATATTATGCCAACAGCCACCCTAAGGAAACGGATCAAGCCCCGGGAAACGAGGACTGAAGCAAGGCCAGCGTTTCAGTACGGTACATATACGTCTATTAGCGTAGTGCACCTTACACACGAGTCCGGATCATGCGATTCACACTTATTAGGACCAAACACATCTTGCTGACGATGTCGGTGGATATGCCAGACCACGGTCCGATGAATAAGACTCATGCATTGCCGTCAGATGTTGCCATCATTGGCGGACGGACTGCAGTAGCACCCTCTTCAAGTAGTACACCTCTGGTATAATTCCAATTGGCGGGACCTAAAAACCGCTTTGACATCCAAAGACACACTCTACCGAGATAATATGCCAATAAAAATCCCAAGGATACGGACCAAGCCTTGGAACCGAAGACTGAAGCTAGGCCAGCTTTTTCGGTACGGCACATATGCGTCTATTAGCGCAGTGCACCTCATGCACGAGTCCGGATCAGGCGATTCACACTTATGGAAATTAAACACATCGTGCTGACAATGACGGTGGAACTGCGAAACTTCGGTCCGATGAATAAGACTGATGCATTGCCGTGAGATGCTGCCGTCATGTGCGGACAGGCTGTAGTAGCAGCCTCTTAAAGTAGTACACCTCTTGTATAATTCCGATTGGCGAGACCTAAAAACCACTCTGAAAGGCAAAGACACATCCCGCCGAGATAACATCCCGACACGAACCCTGAGGAACAAAGCCAAGCCCCGGGAACCGAGGACCGAAACAAAGGCAACGGTTTAGGTACGGTACATATACGTTTAGTCGTGCGGTGCACCTGAAACAAGAGCCCCTACAACGCGATTCACACTAAACACATTGTGCCGACAATGTCGGTTGAGCTGCAATACTTTGATTCAATGAATAAGACTCATGCACTGTCGTGGGATGTCACCATCATGTGCGGACAGACTGTAGTAGCACCTTAAAGTAGTGCGCCTCTTGCATAATTCGTTGACGAGACCTAAAAACCGCTTTGTCATCCAAAGACACACTGTACCGAAATAACGTGTCAACAGCAATTCTAAGGGAACGGACCAAGCCCCGAAAACCGAAGACCGGAGCGAGGCCAACGTTTTCGGTACGGAACATATATATTTATAAGCGCAGCGTACCTTATACCATCGTCAGCAAGATGTGTTTAGTCCTAATAAGTGTGAATCGCATGATCCGGACTCGTGTGTGAGGTGCACTACGCTAACGGACGTATATGTACCGTACCGAAAACGCTGGCCTTGCTTCAGTCTTCGTTTCCCGGGGCTTGGTCCGTTTGCTTAGCGTGGCTGTTGGCATATTATCTCGGCAGAGTACGTCTTTGGATGTCAGAGTGGTTTCTAGGTCTCGCCAATTGGAATTATACAAGAGGTGTACTACTTGAAGAGGGTGCTACTGCAGTCCGTCCGCCAATGATGGCAACATCTGACGGCAATGCATGGGTCTTATTCATCGGACCGAAGTCTTGCATATCCACCGACATCATCAGCAAGATGTGTTTGGTCCTAATAAGTGTGAATCGCATGATCCGGACTCGTGTATGAGGTGCACTACGATAACAGACGTATATGTACCGTACCGAAAACGTTGGCCTTGCTTCAGTCTTCGTTTCCCGGGGCTTGGTCCGTTTTCTTAGGGTGGCTGTTGGCATATCATCTCGGCAGAGTATGTCTCTGGATGTCAGAGCGATTTCCGGCCTTGCTCGTTGGAATTGTACAAGAGGTGCACTACTTTAAGAGGGTGCTACGACAGTCCCTCTGCACGACATGATGGCATCTCACGGCAATGCATGAGTCTTATTCATCGGACCGACGTCTTGCATTTCCATTGACATTGTCAGCACGACGTGTTTAGTTCTAATAAGTGTGAATCGCATTGTCCGAACTCGTGCGTGAGGTGCACTACGCTAACAGACGTATATGTACCGTACCAAAAACGCTGGCCTTGCTTCAGCCTTCGTTTCCCGGGGCTTGGTCCGTTTGCTTAGGGTGGCTGTTGGCATATTATCTCGGCAGAGTACGTCTTTGGATGTCAGAGCGGTTTCTAGGTCTCGCCAATTGGAATTATACAAGAGGTGTACTACTTGAAGAGTGTGCTACTGCGGTCCGTCCGCCAATGACGGCAACATCTGACGATAATGCATGAGTCTTATTCATCGGACCAAAGTCTTTCATATCCACCGACATCGTCAGCAAGATGTGCTTAGTCCTAATAAGTGTGAATCGCATGATCCGGACTCGCGTGAGGTGCACTACGCTAACAGACGTATATGTACCGTACCGAAGACGCTGGCCTTGCTTCAGTCTTCGTTTCCCGGGGCTTGGTCCGTTTGCTTAGCGTGGCTGTTGGCATATTATCTCGGCAGAGAACGTCTTTGGATGTCAGAGTGGTTTCTAGGTCTCGCCAATTGGAATTATACAAGAGGTGTACTACTTGAAGAGGGTGCTACTGCAGTCCGTCCGCCAATGATGGCAACATCTGACGGCAATGCATGAGTCTTATTCATCGGACCGTGGTCTGGCATATCCACCGACATCGTCAGCAAGATGTGTTTGGTCCTATTAAGTGTGAATCGCATGATCCGGACTCGTGTATAAGGTGCACTACGCTAATAGACGTATATGTACCGTACCGAAAACGCTGGCCTTGCTTCAGTCCTCGTTTCCCGGGGCGTGATCCGTTTCCTTAGGGTGGCTGTTGGCATAATATCTCGGCAGAGTATGTCTCTTGATGTCAGAGCGATTTGGAGCCTTGCTCGTTGGAATTGTGCAAGAGGTGCACTACTTTAAGAGGGTGCTACGACAGTCCCTCTGCACGACATGATTGCAGCATCTCACGGCAATGCATGAGTCTTATTCATCGGACCGAAGTCTTGCAGTTCCATCGACATTGTCAGCACGACGTGTTCAGTTCTAAAGGTGTGAATTGCATTATCCGGACTCGTGTGTGAGGTGCACTACGCCAACAGACGTATATGTACCGTACCGAAAACGCTGGCCTTGCTTCAGTCTTCGTTTCCCGAGGCTTGATCCGTTTCCTTAGGGTGGCTGTTGGCATATTATCTCGGCAGAGTATGTCTCTAGATGTCAGAGCGATTTCAAGCCTTGCTCGTTGGAATTGTACAGGAGGTGCACTACTTTAAGAGGGTACTACGACAG